GGACTGACGATGCTACTGGACGCAATCCTCGCGCAGTTCTGGCCTGATCAGGGGCACAACTTCAGCGCTGGCATCAGCTTGCGGCTGCGCCCCGACGGCGCGACGGAGCTCATCCAGATGGACCTCGGCATTTACATGCAGCCGCTGCAGCGGTCGCCGCATAGCACCCAATATTAGTTAGCATACATGTGCGCATGTATATATCCATTACGCCTTCTTGCGTCGCTGCAGCGGCTCTGTCGGATCGCGGACGAGGATGCAATGCACCGCTTGATCGGAATGAAAGGTTCGTCAGGAATCAAACCATTTATGTGCCGCAACGTGTTCTTGAAGGGCGAAGTTCGGGATATAGTTGCTTCTGATGCGACGGGTGTCGCTGTTCACCACTCGGAACCAGATGCGTCGCGGCTGCAGCCGATGACGGCGCCGTTGCTCGATGCCATCTGCAGCAGATTGATCGAAGGGGTCAACGTCATGAACAAGGGCGAGTTCCAGGAGTTGGAGCGCCGACTTGGCTGGAACTGGGACCCCCATTTGCCTGAGCGGGTTCGGAAACTCAAGCCGCTCGAGGCAGTCATGGTTGATTGGATGCAGTGTATTTTCGCCAACGGTACATATAACATTCGGGTGTTCCAAATGTTTCGAAGGTTGAAGGGTTACTGGGCGCGCGCAGACGCATATTTCCAGGACTGGTCGTTTCCAGGGTGCCACTCCATCTCCCCCGACACGTGCGCGATCTTCGGCGAGAAGCGCGTGAGGTCCCACGTTGACAGCAAGCATTTCAAGTGTACCGCCAGCGAGGGGCTCACAACCATGCAAGTATCATTGCATGCTTCGCGCCCCCGCCAGACCAATAATACATGCGCTGCAGCGCACGTGAATTTCTGTAGGATATGTACTGCACCCCTCTTGTTCGGACATGCGTTCGCGCGGGCGGATTGACGTGTTTCTTCAGGGAGGTGGCTAGCGACGCTGCAGCGCCTGCAGTCCGATCGGCTTGCGCAGTGTTCGAGGCGCACACGATCGTTGTGGAAGAAATCCTACGAGTATCCAGGCGTCAGGCAGACGCGGATAAGCTGCAGGCTGCGGTTAACAGGTTTTTGCTGTCATACAGCAACGTCTTTGGCAAGGAAACGATGGCGCAGAAGTTCCATTACCTGCACCACTTCGCCAACTACGTGAGGCGTTGGGGCCATGTGGCGCTGCCGTCGTGCTGGGTTTTGGAGCGCAAGCACAAGACCAGCAAGCGCTTTGCGAACGCTCTTCAGGCGGGGGCTGCAGCCTCCAGCGGCTGGGACGCCAATGTCCTGAAGAGCGTCACCGAGCGGCACCTGTGGCAGCTCATGGATGGCGACACCTTTAAGGTTAACTGCCTGGTTAACGCCACCAGGCCGTCCAAGGCCATCTCGCGCGAACTGCTGCAGCAGTTCGGGCCTGCGGACTTTGTTACGTCCGCTGCAGCGCGGTGCCGCTACCACGACGTCAAATACGGCGACGTCGTGCTGTTGGAGGACGGAGGAGGGGAGCACATTGCGGCCGAGGTGTTGGAACACCTCTCCTTCGCCAAGAACGGCCACTACTATGGCTTGAGCTTGGTCCTGCCCTACTTCTTCAAGGAGAAGCTGCACCCGCGCGCCTCCGCGCACGTGCTTGGCGGCGATGCCGACGCCTTTTGGGCGCACACGGCGAGCATCGTGTGCTCGCTCGCGTGGGCGCCGCGCGAGGGCGGCGGCATCCGAGTGGCGCGCCCGATATGGTCGCAGCCGCGGTGGTGCGCTTTAGCCTAAAACGTGGTTTCCTTACTGGCGCTGCAGCGCACTTTTTTACATTGCTAAATGCTTCGGTGCTGCAGCACCTGAACGTTGCATGGTCGACGACTCCTTTTCTCCGCCTTGAAAACGTGGATTCCTTCTGCATTGCGCTGTAGCGTACCTTTTTCATTGACACTTCGGTGCTGCAGCACCTGAACAGTGCATGGTCGCCGATTCCTCTTCTCCGCCTCGTTCCTCCTCCTCCTCTTGCGCTGCAGCGCTAATGTCGTTGATCAGTGGTGCGGTCGTTCAAACTCCTCCGTCCCCTCATCCTCCCCCTTCTCCCCCTCCTCCTCCTGCTCCTACTGCTGCTTCTCCTCCTCATCTTGCCCCCCCTCCCCCTTCTCCTCCCCCCCTCCTCCTCTGACGAGGGGGGGAGGGTGGAGGAGGGGGAGGGGGATGAGGAGGAGGAGGCGGAGGAGGAGGAGGAGGAGGAGGAGGAGGAGGAGGAGGAGCATGAGGAGGAGGAAAAAGACGAGATAGCTCAGAGCGAGAGGAGGATGGGGAGGAGGAGGGGGGGGGGGAGGAGGAGGAGGAGGAGAGGAGGAGGAGGAGGGACGAGGAGGAGGAGGAGGAGGAGGAGGAGAGGAGGAGGAGGAGGAGAGAGAGGAGCTAGGAGGAGGAGGAGGAGGAGGAGGGGAGGGAGGAGGAGGAGAGGAGGGGATGAGGGGAGGAGGACGAGGGAGGAGCGGAGGGTTAGGAGGACGAGGAGGAGGATGAGGAGGAGGAGGACGAGGGAGGAGTATATGATGATGACGAGAGGAGGAGGGCGAGAGGAGGAGGCGGAGAGGAGGAGGAGGAGGAGGAGGAGGAGGAGGAGGAGGAGGAGGAGGAGGAGGAGGAGGAGGAGAGGGAGGAGGAGGAGGAGGAGGAGGATAGAAGGAGGGGGAGGAGGAGACGCCGCCCGCGCGCGTGCGGCTTACAGGCCGCGCGGGGGCGCGCCCTCCCTTTTCCCTTTGCTTCGCGGCTCGGGATCGCCATCGAAAAACATATCAAGACATGTTTTTCGATGGCGACCCCGAGCCATGGGGCAGTCTCCTCTCGGAGGACCCCTCGGGGATGTCGGGGATCCTCCTCGACATCCCCGAGGGGTGGGACGGGCTCGGCAGCCATCGGCCCGTCGCACGTCGTCGTCTCCCAACCCTCTGGGTTGTGGACGACGGCTACGTGCGGTGGGCCGCTCTGGCTGCCGAGCGGCGCGCGGGGCCCCCCCCGCCGCCCGCGCCAGCGGCAATGCCGCTGGAGATGGCGGCGCAGAGCGCGGCGCAGGCGAACTTCGCCTGCGCCGCGCTCAGCCGCGCCAGGCTGCCGCTCGACGCGGCGGCCCTGCAGGGCCGCCGCGTCGAGCGGCCGTCTTGGGCTGAGGCGCGCCCGTCGCCGCCTCCGCCGCCGCCTCCCCCTTTCCTCCTCCTCCTCATCCTCCTCCCCGTCCTCCTCCTACTCCTCCTCCTCCTCGACATCTCCTCCTCCTTCTCCTCCTCCTCCTCCTCCTTCTCCTCCTCCTCCTCTCTCCCCCTCCTCTTCCTCCTCCTCCTCCTCCTCCTCCTCCTCTTCCTCCTCCTCCTTCTCCTTCTCAGAGTCCGCTAACCACTTAGTAAGTCCGCTAACCACTTAGTAAGTAAGCTAGCTAGCGGACTTACTATGTGGTTACTAAGTGGTTAGTAAGTGGTTACTGGGTGGTTACTAAGTGGCAGCTAAGTGGTTACTAAGTGGTTAGTAAGTGGTAGCTAGAGTGGGGACTTAGCGAGCTAACCTCTACTAGAGACTTAGCAAGGTTAGCCTCCAGCTATAAGTGGTTAGTATCTCCTACTAACCAGTTGTAGCTGGTTATACAACTTACATCCGACTTACAACACTTATAACCTACTTACAACTCACTTGTACGTACATACTAAATCCTCTAACCCCTTAGTATCCGCGCTAACCACCTAGCAGCCGCCGCGGCCATCCAAGTACAGGCAGATTTCGGAAGAAAGTTAAAACATATCCCAGTTATTGTTCAAATTGTCTCTAGAACATGTTTCACTATGTTTGAATATTCCTCCTGCAGCGGGACATGCCCGACTTAACCCCGGGCGGTGACACGCCTGAGCGTCATATGCCCACCTGGGCGGCTGGGCTGGTGGGGCTGAGACATGTCCTTGTGGGGATGGGCCGGGATGGGGATCGGTGAGACGATGCTGAGCTTGCAGCCCGACGCCAGCACAGTCACTTCCTGGGAGCCGCAGACTGCCCCCGCGGCGGCGCGGTGCCGCTGCCTCTCGGCGCCCCGCTGGAGACATCTCCGGCCGGCCGCTCCGGGAGCCACGGCGGACCCGCGGCACCCGCTGGTCTGGCGCGAGGCCAACGGGCCTGCACGGCTTCCCCCGGGGCCGTAGGCGACCCGAGGAGGAGGAGGAGGAGGAGGAGGAGGAGGAGGAGGAGGAGGAGGAAGAGGAAGAGGAGGAGGAGGAGGCGGCGGATGCGAGGTCGCCCGAGCCCTTCGGAGAACCCCTCCGAAAGGGCCCTGAAGGGAATGGGACCTGGACCCCGGGGCCCTTCCCCATGGCCAGCTTCTCGGCCTCCAGCCGTTCTCATGCCATCCGCCAGGGGCCCGCCGAGGGCCCCGTGGAAGCCGGAGCGGCGCGCGAGACGCCTCGGCGCCCCGTTTCCCTGAGGACCCGCCTCACGGGACTGGTGCCAGTGCCGCCTCTCCTCCCTCTCGGGGTCGGCCAAGAGGGGGGCGTCCAAGAGGGAAGGGGGGGGGGGGGGGGGGGGCAAATCATGACCGGCGGCATGTGCGCGTCCCAACGGGGGGGCCAGGGACGTAATGAAATAAGACGAGGCGCCGTGAAATCTGGGAAAATATCATGGCCCCCGCCATGATATCCACCCCCCTTATAGTCATCACCCCCCTCTTCGCCGCCCCCGATCCCTCAGACGGACATCTCCCAGGCAGAGCGACGTCCCTCTGCCCTCGTCGCGCTTCCCTTCCCCCTTCTCCCGCAGCGGGAGCCGCGACGCCCCCTGCCACGAGGAAGGGCATCGCGGGAGAGCCAGGAGAACTCCCGCGGAGACGTGCCGACGTTCCGGGGAGAGGAGTGCAGGAGAGGGAGGACGAGGAGGAGAAGGAGGAGGGGTGATGAACGAGGATGCAGTCGGAGAGCCGGATGGTGAAAAAAGACGCTTCTCTGCCGCTGAGGAGGCCACGTTGGAGATCGAGGTGTGGTAATCCGTGGGCATCCTGGCAGGCCGCGGCAGCATTGAGCAGGCCGGCCGCGTGCTGGGCGAGCATAAGCGAGCAGGCCCTCGCACTCAAACTCGCTCATCGATGGCACTTTTCTCGATGCGTGCACCGCCAAAAACCGAGAACACCTGCGCATTCCGTCTCGCGCCGAGACCCCCCTTCAAGGATGGCCCTCACCATGATGGTGAGCATACCTTCGGGTCTACTCCAGCTGTCCCCAAGGGGAGCACTACGCTGAGATCGCGTGGCACGTCGGAATGCCTCAGGCGGCCGCAATACACGACCAGACGTCGTCGGGACCTCCATGCGACGACCTTGACGGAGTACGCTCGCTCCAAGCCCTTCCGCACTCGTGGTTTGCTCATGGCTCTCTCGACCCCAATCTTATCCTCGTAACCTCCGCACGATCCCGCAATGCTGACCCTGCTCGCACATCCACGGGTAAACGGCAAACGCCTATCTTTGGCGGCGCGCAGAAGGCGATTAGGGGGAGAGGGGGAAGGCTTCTGAGAAGGAGGCTGCTTCTTAGAAGGCGCGGGCCTCACACTTACAGAGAAGGCCCGCGCCTTCTAAGACGCAGGGTGTTCTAAGAAGCCTTCCCCCCTCTCCCTCCTCCTCCTCCTTCTCCTCCTCCTCATCCTCCTCCCCCTCCCCCCCTCCCCTCCCCCTCCCCCTCCCCTCCCCTTCCTTCTCCTCCCCCTCCTCTTCTTCTTATTCCCCATATCCTAAGATGGGGTTCTTGTTATTACTTGGACGCCTCCTACTCCTCCTCCTTCCTCCTCCTCTTTTCTCCTCCCCTCCTGTCGGACATACTCAGACTTGCTCATACACAGACTTACTCATACTCAGACTTACTCATACTCAGACCTACTCATACTCAGACTTACTCACACTCAGACATACTCATATACAGACTTACTCATACACAGACTTACTCATACACAGTATTAGTCATACCCAGACGTACACATACACAGACTTACTCATACACAGACTTACTCATACTCAGCACCCCTAAGGGGAGCCGCCAGGGGTGGTTGCACGGGCTCGTTCGCGGCCATTTTGTGGGGATGTCTCAGGCGGTTTGCCTGTTTCTGTGCCCAACATCCTTCGCTTTCGGAGCAGATTTGGAGGATGTCTCGAGCGAGGCGCTCATTTCAGCACCCCTAAGGGGAGCCGCCAGGGGTGGTTGCACGGGCTCGTTCGCGGCCATTTTGTGGGGATGTCTCAGGCGGTTTGCCTGTTTCTGTGCCCAACATCCTTCGCTTTCGGAGCAGATTTGGAGGATGTCTCGAGCGAGGCGCTCATTTCAGCACCCCTAAGGGGAGCCGCCAGGGGTGGTTGCACGGGCTCGTTCGCGGCCATTTTGTGGGGATGTCTCAGGCGGTTTGCCTGTTTCTGTGCCCAACATCCTTCGCTTTCGGAGCAGATTTGGAGGATGTCTCGAGCGAGGCGCTCATTTCAGCACCCCTAAGGGGAGCCGCCAGGGGTGGTTGCACGGGCTCGTTCGCGGCCATTGTGTGGGGATGTCTCAGGCGGTTTGCCTGTTTCTGTGCCCAACATCCTTCGCTTTCGGAGCAGATTTGGAGGATGTCTCGAGCGAGGCGCTCATTTCAGCACCCCTAAGGGGAGCCGCCAGGGGTGGTTGCACGGGCTCGTTCGCGGCCATTTTGTGGGGATGTCTCAGGCGGTTTGCCTGTTTCTGGGCCCAACATCCTTCGCTTTCGGAGCAGATTTGGAGGATGTCTCGAGCGGGCGCTCATTTTCACCCCCCAGGTGGGCCAGATTTTGAGGATGTCTCGATCGGTTTGCTAGTTTTGGTGGCCAGGCTCGTGGGCGCAGATTCTTCTCAGGATGCCACAGGAGGCTCCAACAGGCTCCAGGAGGCTCCAGGAGACCACATGAGGTCCCAGGAGGCATCAGGAGGCCACAGAAAGACTCAAGAGGCCACAGGATGTCCCAAGAGGCTCCAGGAGGCCCCAGGAAGCTCCAGAAGGCTTCAGGAAACCACAGGAGGCCCCAGGAGGCAACAGGAAGCGCCAGGAGGCCTCGGAAGGCAACAGGAGGCCCCGAGAGGCCCCAGGAGCAGGAGGCCTCAGAAGGCAACAGGAGTGGCTCCAATCCCATGTGTTTTACGTATGCTCCTATCGATTGGGCCTCACCTGGAGCACGATTCTTTGATGTTCTACGTATGTTTCTATAGATGGTCCTTCTCCTGTGTACACAATCCTAAATGTTTTACTCATGTTCCTATGTATTGGGCCTCTCCTGGGGCACGAGTCCTTGGTGTTTTACGCGTGTTCCTATATATTGCCCTTCTCCTGTGGCTCTAATCCGCAATGTTTTATGTACGTCTGTTGCTATAGATTGCGCCTCCCCTGGGGCACGAAACCTTCCTAGGAGGTCCCAGGAGGTCCCAAGAGGCTCCTGGAGACCCCAGGAAGCCCCAGTAGGTTTCAGGAGGCCCCAGGAGGCCCCAGGCTCATGCACAGAGACGCGCTCGTACTACTGAGGCTCATTCACACTCCAATTCATTCACAGTTAGATTGATGTCCAGACCGTCACAACTGAAGCCCGTTAATATTCGAAAGCTCTTGCGCCTAGACATTCACGGCGGACAGGTCCATGCGAGTAGATGCACATATGGGGAGCTCCACGCAGTGAATAATTCGTTTTCTTATTATTGTTATTATGCTTCTTCTTCTTCCTCTTCATCCTCCTCCTCTTTCTCCTCTTCCTCCTCCTCCTCCTCCTCCTCCTCCCCCCTCCTGCGCGTGGCCGAGATCTCACCACGGTTGTCACGTCCCCGACCTCGGTGGCGGCGCGCCACTGAGGGGACGCGGCGAGGCGGGGCGGCGTTCTGCGAATGCGGGGGCACGACTGGAGGGGCCCGAGGGGGCTTCTACGGCAGGGGCCCGACCACGAGAGACCTTCCACAAGAAACCCAACCCTAAGACCCCAGGGCGTCCATCGTCCTCTTGCGTGGGGCGTCACGCCGTTCATCGCAAAGCCATCGAGACCCAAGAGACCCAAGGCACCCAGGAGGCAAGAAGGGTGTCTCTTCGCACGGGCCTCCCCTGTACGAAGGCCTCTCAGAAGGCGGGAGGGCTTCCGAGGAGCCGACTGCCCTCTTAGCGGGCCCCCCCCCTTCGACTCCCCCCCCCCCTCGACTCGGGCCACACTTAGCTGCTCGCGGCCGCCAAATCCATTCACCTCCCCAGCCCTCACAGCCCCCAAGGCAAGGGGCACATCCACGGCGCAAAAGAGGGGAGTCGCTCAGCAAGACCACACGTCCTGTTGGTTTTCTCGCCAGTCAGTACGTTCTTGAACACCTTCTCTCCGGTCTTCTCGTTGACAAACTGGCGGGGGTGTGCGCTGGGCTCTTTAGGCGTGGGTGAGATCATGGGAGATTGCGAGTGCGGAACGGGAAGCTCAAAGACATAGGAGGGTAAAGAAGGGGAGGGGAATGGGCGGAACAAGGAAGCACGAATACGAAGATGAGAAGTTGGGGGGGAGCGGATGATCGCGGAGAAGCACGAGGACGCCACGACCTGTCCCTGAGCATCTGGGGTGCCTCAGCCGCCTCCTGGAGCCCCACCCAGCCCTGTAAATGAACCCACAAAAAAACGCTGGCCGCTCTCCAGACGTCTCTCTCGAAGCAGCTGCACGAACACACACACACACACACACACACACCGCCTCGGGCACTGGCCTTGCCGCGTGCAAGGAGCCCGCCGTCCCCCTGCGCCGCGGGCACCGCGGGCATGCTTCCCCGGCAGTGTGCCGCAGCGCGTCTGCACGGCAACACGGTGCCGCCTCCGATCGGCTGAATCCGTCTGGCCCACACCAGGGGGCATACGCCAAGTGCGCGCCAGGACGATCCAAGGGCTCCCCGTGGCCCCTGGATGGGTGAGAGCGGCTTCCTGGCCTGGCCAGGAAGGTACGTCCACGGATCTTGGGCCCGATATGCGCCTGGATAGGACCGCGCGGTGCATACCGAACCACACGAGTTGTGAACCCTGCTTCCGACGGGCATCTTCGCGCCCCATGATTGATTATGTTAGGTGGCAGTGCATTTGAGCCTCAGGTAGTCGCACGAGCGTCTAGTCATTGCGATTAGTGGCCCCCACCAAACCCACCAGATCCCACTGAATCCCACCTGCGACCCCACTAAATCCCACTGAAACCCAAAATGTGCCCACGGGAGCGCCCACTAAATCTCATTAAGCAATAATTGGAAAAACTCCTTGGGTCGAACAGAAGCTCCCTTACTTGGCCACCTAACCTATACCCGCGTCGAGTTGCACGCCGGGCCCTTGCCAGGGTCGCTAGCCTTGCCGTGGCTGCTCCGATGTCCAAGTCCCCTCCCCCATCTGACAATTCGACCGCTTCACTTAGGAGGCAACTACTGGGAGGTCTTCGTCCAAAAGATGTTAAAGAGGAGTAAGCCTCATCGGGGGGCTGGTAAGCGGGATTCGGCAAGCGGGACTGAGCCGGACTAAGCTGGACCAAGCCGGGCTAAGCGGAATTGAGCCATATTAAGTGAGACTTCGGACCAGGGCGAAGTCAGGATTGGACCTCCCAGGAGCTGCATCCGAACATCACGATTCGCTCTCCGAGGCACCGCGCCCGCACTTCTCCAGTGAAGCTAGCTAGCATCACGGTCGCCAAGCAGAGCCCTCCGAATCAGCGCGCCCCCACGGCACCACCGTACTCCCCACTTTGCTTCCCTATAGCGGAGCAAGAGGCACGACGATGAGACGACAAAGGGTAGTGCACGACGGAATCGACAGGCTGACGACCACGCGCTAGTCATACACATTATTGTGTCTGCCTGCGGGTCGTATCCGTCGCAGCTGTGCAACTTCGTGGGCCCGGGCCCTACTCTAACTATGTTCCATGCTCTGGGAGGCGGGGGAGTCGGTGCGATCGCGTTGCAGGCTATCCTGAAAGCGACGCAGGCCGTAGAGAGAAACATCAAAGCAAATGCACATAGGCAAGACACGTCCTCGCCTCCGCCCAGCCATTGCGCACACCAAGCTGCCGCAAGAACGCGTCCTGGGCGCAAATGCAGACGCATAACTCGCAATAATACTTTGCGGCGTAAATGCGCCTCTCACTCTCTCTCTCTCCCTGTCGGAAAGCCTCTGCCTGTGCGTCTCTCTCCCCATCTTTCTCTTCTGTCTCTCGTTCTCTGTATCTGCCTCTGTCTCTGTTTCTCTCTCTCTCTCTCTCTTTCCCTTTCTTTCTGTCTCTCTCTCTCTCTCTCTCTCTCTCTATATATATATATATACATTCATTCCTTTTCCTATATTTTTATAAGCCCGGGCGGGGGGGAAGGTGCTTTGGGACCCTCCAGACGGGCCTCGCAGCGGCCCGCCGGGCCTCGCAGGGGGTTTTGCCAAGCCTTCCCAGCACACCTAGGGCGATCAGGGGGGTCATCGGAGACGTCCCAGAGACCCCCAGGACAGCACAAGAGCGCCCCAAGAGTGACCGACGTGACCTCAAGATGGCCCAAGATGCCTCCAGAACAGCCCCAAGGTGGCCTCCAAGAGCACTCCCAAGAAGGCCCCAAGAGGCAAACATCATTGATTTTCTGTTGGTTTTTGGTTAATTTGGGGGTTCTCCTCTTTTCGGCTTCCCGACGCTCCAAGACGGTGATCTTCTGGGTGTCCGAAGCCGCCTGGGAGGCTCCCAAATCGCCCCACAACCATCCGCAAGGGCTTCCAGGCAGTCCAAGAGAGCCCCAAAACGGCACAACACGGGTCCAAGATGGCCCTCAGAGAGCCCCATGGCGGCCCAAGATGGCCCCAAGACACCCTCCGAAGCATTCCAAGTCGGGCGTTGGCAGAACTGGGTTTAGTGGAACCTGGTTTAGTGATCTGTACAGGGGGCGCCCCCCCGTCCCATTTCCACTAACCGGAACTGCCGTCACCCGAAAAAACACCAGCTATGGCAAACCTGGTTTAGTGATTCTGGCTAATTCAAAGGCTCCGGGGCCCTACCACTAACTGGGTCCCCTTACCTGGGGTCCTGGCCATACCCGACCAAATCGTGACCCGGTCGTTCAGGGAGACCGCGGTTGGAGGCAGGGTGGCCCGAGGAAGCCCCCAGAGGCCCCAAAAATACGCCCAGAAGGCCTCCAGAAGGCCTTAAGAAAGCCTGAAACAACTTTTGTGAGGCCCTCAGGGGCCCTCCAAGGAGGAGCCTCCGCAAAAAAGAGCTGAGGAGGATGGGGAGAATGCGCAGGGTATGGCGAAAATAAAGAAAAAGAAGCATTGAGGAAGGACAGCGAATCAGATTATTATGGCGGCGATGCCAGAAAAGGCAACAAGGAGTTATGATCTTCCTGCTATTCCGCCTGCATGCCAAACTCTAAGGACCAAGGTGCATGGCCCGAAGCGCCACTGCAATAATATATATATATATATATATATGTATATATATGTATATATACATATATATATATATATATATATATAATGATCCGCCGCCGTGCCCCCTGGCACGTTGAGGCGCGGAAGAATGCAAAGGTCTGCCCCGTAGGGTTTCTTGAATTCTAATGCGGGGCCGCCCCTCCCTCTACCAGCAAACGCTTGCGTGCATCGACCCCTCTTTCCCAGGCCATTTCCCTCGTGCCCGCTCGAGGATGATGCACATGCCCGCTCAAGGACGGTGCGCTCCCCGCATGGCAGCTAATGCCTGAACTGCCCCTTCCACGGGCGCCCGCTCGAGGATGGTGCTCTTGCCACATGGCAGCTAATGCCTGAACCCTCTCGAGGATTGTGCACTTCCTGCATGGATGCGAACTCCTAGACCCCTCATTCCCAGGCGCTGCTCCCAAGGGCTCCAGGGCCTCCAAAGCAGCGATCCTCCCTTAAAACGGCGGGTATGCGCCCCGAGCTTACAAGGCGGCCCGTGCAGGCAGCCAAGGACGCCAAGATGGCCCAAGATGCCTCGACGACGACCTTACTCTGACCCAAAGGCCACCGAATATCGACGAAAGACTGCCCCATATGCCTGCAACAGGTCCCACAATGGCTACAAGAGGACCTCCAACAGGGTCAGGAGAAGCCAACATCATTGATTTCCCGTGTGTGGCTAGACCAGTTTTAGCATTCTCCCCTTTTCGAGCTGTTCTCAGCTCAGGGCGGTGGCCAAAGAAGCAAGAAGCATCCAGATGGCCCAAGAAGCATCCAAGGCGGTGGCCCAGAAAAGGGAAGTACGCGATGGTCCGAGAAGCATCCGGAACAACCCAGAGGCAGCCTAAAGAGGCACCCCGGGGGACCCACGACGGCCTTAGAACTCCCGTCGACAGCCCAAGCCGGCCCGCCAGCGCCCACCAGGCACCCACCCTACGGACAAGATGACCCCCAGACGGCCCAAGGGAGCCCCAAGCGTGGTAAGAGGGCGGCAAGACGGCCCAAGAGGGACCCAAGGGACCCCCTAGACTGCCTCACGAGAGGCCAGGGCCGCCCTAAGGAAGTTGAAACGAATTTCGTCATCATCATCATCATCATCATCATCATCATCATCAGCATCATCATCATCATCATCATCATCATCAACAGCAGAAGCATCGTCATCGTCAGCATCATCAACATCATCATCAGCAGCATCAGCATCACCATCATCATCACCAGCATCATCAGCATCAGCATCAGCATCACATCAGCATCATCGACATCATCACTATCATCAGCATAATCGTCATCAGCATCATGATGGTAATCATCACTATTGCCACCAACACCATAGGATAACAATGTTTGCCACCATCATCATCATCATCATCATCAGCCACCACCACTACCATTATCATCATCACCAGCATCAGGGTAATCGTCATCAACCCCATAACCATCACCATCACATCACCATCTCAATGACCATGACCATGACCATGACCATTATCATCATCATCATCATCATCATCATCATCATCATCATCATCATCCTCATCATCCTCATCACCACCGTCATCATCATAAGCATCATCAGCAGCAGCAACATCATCATCAGAATCAGACTCGCCACCTTCATCATCAGAATCGCCATCACCCTGTCATCAGCATCATATCATCGCCGTCGTCGTTGTCGACATCGTCATCATTATCCTCAGCAGTATTATTATTATCACCACCACCACCACCACCATCAATCATCCTCATAATCCTGAGCATCCTTTTCACGGCTCACCCAAGCCTGGAGACACGAGGTGTCACCCGTGAGGGCTTCCCGTGCCCCCTCGAACAGTCGAAACCCAGAAAACTAGGCTAGCAAGGTGGCCAGACTTGCCGCAAGCAGCTGAAATTTGAATATGCAATCAATCCAGCGCCGTCGAGCGACAAGACACAATCACGGCCACCCGAACCACACATACTCCGAAGGGGCAACGCCAACCAAAGACATTTCCAGATTCAACTTGGCGACACCCTCGACGGAGATGGCAACCCAACACGCCGTCACACTCGGCAACAAGTTCCCTCTCCGTCACGCTCAGCAACCTTCTGTGATGGCCACCGGCAAACTCATGCCCAGCGTCAATACCCGCCCATGTGCACTCAACAAGAATGAAGAAATCGGAACTGAATGCCAACGGGATCACCTCACCGCCAGATCGCCGCCCCATGCCCGTCGCCTGGTGTGGTGCTGTGTGTCCTGGTGTGGTGCTGAGCGGTGCCTCCCTCCGCCAACCCCTGCGTGGTGTGGCGAGGTGCCGTGGCGCGGCAGGAAGCGGAAGGGCTGCAACCTTCCAGCGCACAGGGGAGTCGGCCTCCGGGACAGGTCCACGGATCGTCGGCGTCCTCGTCGCCGTCGCCGTGGTCGTCTGCGGCGCAGTCGTCGCCGTCGCATTTCTCGTCTTCGTCATCGTATTCGACGTCGTCGTCGTCGCCCCCCCATCCCATCTGGGGTGGATGGGGGGTGGGATGGGCAGGAAGACGCTGGGAACCATCCCATCTGGGGTGTGGGGGGGGGGCCCTTGAACCCTCGGCCAAGGGTCATGGGTGATCACCTCTGCCACTTTGACCGCTTCACCAGTTGAACTTAATCATCCAAAGCCGTTATCAATTAGTTCCTCTGCCGGCTCGCCGACCGCTCGCGTGTCGAGCCATCTAGTCAGTCAACTGTTCGCCCGATCGACGAGGCTATCACTCGCTCGCTCTCTAAGCGAAACGCTCGGCCTTGCTGTCCGTCAATCCCCACACAGACGACGACAACGAGGCATCAGGGATGTACATGTCAGCCAGCACTTTTTCCCCAAACAGTGCTTGCAACTTCTGTTCTAAGGTGATTGAGCTCCAGTGGTGGTCCAGCAAACTCGTCGCCGCCCGTCGCCGCCCTTCGCAAACGCCGTCGCCGCTGGTAATCAACTGAGCCTCAGAGGCGTTCCAGCCAGGTCGTCGCCGCCCATCGCCGCAGGATTGATTTACACTGCAATCGCATTGCTCTGCATTGATTTACATCGCACAACTCTGTTTTGCATTGCTGTGCATTGCTTTGAACTGCATTGCATGTGTTTGAATTTCGTTGCACTGCTTTGCACTGCGCTGCGTTGAGTTGCCTTGCTTTGCATTGCACTCGCGTTGCGTTATATTACAGTGCGTTGTTTCGCATTGCTGTGCACTGTTTTGCATTACTTTGACATACTCTGCATTGCGTTGCCCTGCTTTGCATTTCTTTGCACGGCCCAGATTGCAACGCATTGATTGCACCACCTAGATTGCACCGCCTAGATTACAACCAGTCATTGTTTCTGGGTCCACGATTGCAATCATACTCACACTAGCGCAAACGCAGGCAATCAATCGTGAGCCAAAGCAAACGTGGAATGCTCCATACGCTAGGCGTCACACACGGCGATCAAGCTCGGGAAACCAACACGTACCGATTGGGCCCCCTCTCCTGGGGTGCGTTCCGACCAGAATTTCGAGGCGAATCCCGCGGTGGCGACGGAGCCCTCACATGAGGCCCCCCCAAAGGGGCAAAGCGAGGCAAGGGTAGGAGGAGGAGGAGGAGCAGGAGGAGGAGGAGGAGGAGGAGGAGGAGGAGGAGGGGCTAGCTCCTCCTCTGCAAGTGCCCCCCCCAGGCAGGCGAGCCACGCTCTCGATGCCGCACGCCTGCCCTCTGCCTTGCCGCTCTCGCGGACTTTGGAGGAGGAGGAGGAGGAGGGGGAGGAGGAGGAGGAGGAGAGGAGGAGGAGGAGGAGGAGGAGGGCATCGGTGCGTGCGGGGAGGCGTCGCTCGACCGCGGCAGCTCGGCCGTGCGCCCCCCCGGCACCCCTCCGCAGGGGAGCCCCCTCCCGAAGCTCTGGGCGGCGGACGCGCTCCCCTCGCAGAGGTGGAGGCTCAGTGTGGAGGGGGGGACGAGGTCGGCCTCCGCCCCCCCCCCTCCTCCGACTCCCTCCCCCCCCGCCTCCACCTTTATCTCGTCACGACTCCTCCTCCTCCTCCTCCTCCTCCTCCTCCTCCTCCCGCCTCCTCCTCCTCCTCCTCCTCCTCCTCCTCCTCCTCGGCGACCTCCTGCCTCTCCTCGCTGCTCGCTTGTCCGTCTCCCCCCTCCACGCTGTTCTCTGTCTCCCCGTCCTCGTCCTCGTCCCTCCTCCTGCCTCGGCGTTGTACTCCTCCTCTTCCTCCACGCTTCCACCTCTCCTTGTCCTCATCATCCCCTTGTGCTCCTCCTCCACCTCCTTCTCCTTCCGACAACATCCTCCTCATCCACTTCTCCATCCTTGTTGTCCTCGTCCTCGTCCTCGTCCTCATCTTCTCCTTCGTCCAGCCCATCTCTCCACCATCATGTCGCTTCTTCGACCTCCTCCTTCAAGGTCATTCTCTCTCAACTTCTCCTCACGCTCCACCTCCTCATTCTGCAAATCATTCTCCTCGCTGCAGGGATGAAAACAACAATAGCGGCATAGTGGCGGCAAACATCGCGGAGAAGCGCAGCATGCGCCGTCCGGATTTGGGTCCGGCGGCTTAACGGGGGCCTCGCGGCAGGCAAAAATGCATTCCCCCTAGCTCCTCCCACTCCTGCTCCTCTCCCACTTCCCCCGATATCTCCCCCATCCTCCTGGGGGCCGAATGCAACCATTCAAGACCGACCGTCTTGGGTCTCCACGCCGGATTAAACCATGAGGTCCAACCGAATATACTAGCCTAAGTGTTCTAAGATGCAACGAGCTGTGCCAAGCTGCATCAAGGTGCCGATTTCGTATCCAGGGGCAGCTCAAAGGCTCAAAGGGCTCCAGGCTGATGATAAGCAAGAGTGACACAGGAGGCCAGGATTGTCTCCCAACTACATGGCGCAAACTCGCGAACAACTTCAAATATTATGACGATGAACAACTCTCTCGAAGAACCTGCGCGCTACTATCGGAGTTCCGTAGACCTCCTGATGCGCTTTAGTTGTCCGAGGACGTCGTTCACCATGGCTCGCAAGTTTCCACAACTAAGCAGAGCTGACCGTGCCATCTGCTAGCTCCTGCTTCTGACTGCAAGAATATGGAGTGTTCATGTGATGCGCCACAGTGCCTTTCGGCACGTAGTGGAGTGGTGTATGAAACTTCTGGTGCCAAGTGGTGCTCAAGAGCACCTGTAGTTTTCAACGGCGCCTCCGACTCGCGTCGTGTTGCCCGCATCCCCGCTCCCGACGGTCTCCAAGACATGTTAGTTGCGCACGATCCAAAACCCGTCTCAGAAGCTGGCCCTAGAATGGCTGAGCGACGAATAGCACGAGGCCTTACGCGCGAGGACACGGTGGGACCCGTCAAAGCCGAAGCTGGCCACAAACACGCGGGCTGGGAATAGGTGCCCCTTCGCCAAGGGCCCAAAGCCCCATGGGGACACCCCGAACCGAGGAACTCAAAAGGTACGGATACCGCTACTCCCAGGACCTCTCCCGGGGTGCTTCCTAACCGGGAAATCGCGGCGAATCCGGCGGTGGCGACGAGGGCCTCCAAGGAGGCCCGTAGAGGGGGAAACGGGCAAAGGGTAGAGGTATGGTATGGATACCCTCCTCCTCCTCCGACGGACGAGACACACTCCGCGGCCGAAGACCCACACGCGAAGCACGCACGGGCACCCCAGGGGCGACGTGACAAGCCCACCTGGCCTCGAGAGCGCGGGTCGGGGACGGGCGCGCCCCCGTCGAGGGCCCCGGGCCCCGTGGAGGTGTCCCGATCGAACGGTGCTCGGGCGCTGGCAGGACGGTTACCAGCCTGGAACAGATCCCTATCCCGAATGCGGGATGACGATTCATTAAAAAAATGGTAGAGAACGATTAAAAAAAAGTGTTCTGATATTTCTGCATAAGTTTCTGACTAGAGGAGAACGATTCAAAAAATCGTTCTCCAGCCCGCGGCCGGTTTTTTCTAGTCGTCATCCCGGGCGCCGCCGCGTGAACACGACCCCCGGTCATTTATTAATCGTCATCCTCCATTATGCTGGGCATCTCCTCATCACGGTGCCAGTCTTAGGGATTCCCTTCTTTTTTTGAGGGCGCATCCCTGAGAATGTCATCGCTCTTTGGCGTGCCAGTCTTAGGCATAGGGGTAAGTCTGGCCTGTCCCCCTACAGGGGGATTTTTGACGAAAAATTATAAATTCCCCCAAAGAAAAATCAAAAAATAATACAAAAATAGTCTGGGGACTATTTTTTGGGTATGTCTGACCTTTTTGGGGGAATTGCTGGGGTATTTTCAATTTTTCGTCGAAAGCCCCCCTGTAGGGGGACACGCCCGACTTCAGGATAGGGATAAGTTTGAGGCTGGCAGGACTGGGCCTGGCGGGACCTGGCTCCGTGCTGTGCACCGGGGGGGCGCACCCCCGTCCCGTCCCACTCATAACCGGAACCACCGGCACCCAGAAAAAGCCCCGCTACGGCAGACCTATAGTTCAGCGCTTCCAGCCCACATGTTGTTGGCCTTCGGGGCCCCATCACCAACCAATCACTAACCATCTTTTGGGCCCAATCACTACTCCAGATTTCGTAATAAAAGGGAGGGGGTCTGGACCCTCCAAGACAAGCCATTTCAGGCCTCCCCTGTGGGAGAACCCTCCAAAACATCGTCCCCAGACCCCCCAGGCCCTCCAAGATAGCCTGGAAGAGACCCCCCCCCGAAATGAGACCCCCCTCCCTTTCTTACGAAATCTGGAGTAACCAGTCACTATCTTAGTTTAGCGATTCCAGTCCATATTTTGGAATTCGGGGCCCCATCGCTGACCGGCTCTCCTTCCCTGGGGTCCACTGGCCGTAGCCCGGAGTCTTCCAGGGCGGAGGGCCCGAGCACGAAGGGCGCGCGGGCTCGACCTTACAACACGGGAAGCGCCCGCGCGAGATGCCCGCGCGGTCGAACAGTGCTCGGGCGTGGGCAGGACTCGTACCAGCCTGGAACAGATCCTTGTCCCTATGCCGTGGGCATCTCCTCGTCATGGTGCCAGTCTTAGGGGTTCCCTTCTTTTTTTGAGGGCGCATCCCTGAGATTATCATCGCTCTTTGGCGTGCCAGTCTTAGGCATAGGGGTAAGTCTGGCCTGTCCCCCTACAGGGGGATTTTTGACGAAAAATCAAAAATAGCCACACATTAATCAAAAAACAATCCAAAAATAGTCTAGGGACTATTTTTTGGGTATGTC